GAGGCTGGTCAAGTCACAGGTGGTGCCAGTAGGGCAGCAGTGCTCGTGGTCGTCACAACAGACCGCCTTTTGAACAAAATGGCATGAACATTTTTAGTCACAAACATTGTTAAGTGACAGTTGGATGTATGAATTTGCATGACAAGAGAGAAATGTCAGTCAAAATAAAGTGAAGTTTAAGTGCAGACTAAATGAGTGCTGAAGAACGGCACAGTGCTCATTAAAAATGCTCTATTCAATATAAAAGTGGTTAAATACACTACATAACTATAAGGAATAGTTTGATGTTCTGGGAAAGTTGCTTTTGTTTTGAGAGTTAGAGGAGACAATTGGTACCACTTTTATGTCTTTATGATAAATACAAAGCAATGGTCAGCAGCAGTTTAGCTTAGCTTAGCACAAAGACTGGAAACAGATGAACAGCTAGCCTGGCTCGGTTTAAAGGTAACACAATTCACCTAACAGCATTTCTTAAGATCAGTAATTAAAATGTTATATTTTGTTTGCTTAATCTGTAGAACAACAACAACCAGAGAAAATCCGGTTTTGTACTAAGCTAAGCTAGCTCTTCATGCTAACCTTAGCTAAGCAGCTACTGGTGGACGCTACATGGATTGAATCATCTACTGTAACTCTTGGCAAGAAAAGGGAATAAGCAAAAGTCCCAAGATGTTGAACAATTCTACTAAAGAAATAATGTGTTACTGAATGTCAATAAATTTACAACATCGTATTACCCATTATTTCAACATATACGTATATTTTGCTGTTGCTGAACATTTCACATCCTCAGGATGGGGTGAGTTTTACATTTCTTACGTTTCTTGAACACAATATCTGTGTATTTAACATGAGCAATGACAGCCACCATTGTAGGGGATTGGCAAGTGATTTGGGGAAGTGCAGTCTGAATACTGACGCTTTAAAAGCTGGTTTTAAAGTATCAGTGAGTGCATGTTGCTCTGGGTGTTAACCTTAGGTAGAGGACAGCAGGCCCATTTTCCTTCTGTGGTCTTGCAGCAGGTGGCGCCATCAGGACAACTCGCGGTGGAGTCACATGAAACATTCCCCGCCTGTGTGCCCAGCCTGGGGATTGTGGGTATCTTCTTGACCCACGGCACAGAGTGTGTGTCGCTATCGCAGGTCTGTGCAGCCAGATTACATTTCTTACCGTGTGGGCAGCAGTGAATGAAATCTTCACAGCAAACAGCCTGGGAATGATATGAGCAAAGAAAAAAAAAACATTAATGCATTTGTGACGCTTTTAACAAAGTTAGGAATGTCTACAAAATGGCAGCCAAAGTTGTACCTCTGGTAGAGGACAGCAAGCGAAGCCGCCTTCTTGTGTTTTACAGCATGTGGTGCCATCTGGACAGGCTACTGTATCATCGCAGGGGACGTCACCTGGAAAAACATACCAATAGTATGATTTCTTACATCATCATTATCTTTATTAAAGTTAGTAAAGTAGTAAATAGTAGCCTAATTTTACACATAATCCATGATGATGAAGATATAGATAAATGATAAATGCGTAGCAAAAACACCATATTGTCAATAGTTTAGAGATAAATCATGTTTTCAGGGGAGCTCATGTTTCATTAAGAGGTTCCCAGCTCGCCCTGGCTCCCCTTTAGTTCACACCCTGTTTGTGATGCACCTCTGCATTATTTTTAGGTGTTTGTTTCTACATAATTGGACGCATCTCACCTGCAGCTGCCTTAGAGACAGGCGAAACAGATACTTCCTTCTCTGAAGGAGGAACTGTATCCACTTTGGTGAATTCAGGGGCTTTTTCTGAGCTGGAGTCATGAGCTGTCTCTGCAGTCACTTTTTCACCCTCTGAAAGTTGATACACACATATCAGGTTGCATGATCACACACTCAGATTTAGACAATGATTAATCAGAAAGAGGAAGTAAGTTTACAGCAAAACAAAAAACAAGTCTGACCTTTCTGGTTCTCCCACTCTGCCCTCATTCGAGCAGGAAGTTTGGCCCACATTGGCATCTCTTTTTTGGTAGATAAGGAAATACATTTGGAGTGTTCCACATCACATTCGCTCCCTTCAGGACAGCAGTGTATTTTATCCGCGCAGCACACGGCCTGTTTAGACAATGGAGACAGATGTCGATCACCATATAGCCACGCATGATAACACACCATAAAGACGCCGAGGCAGGAACATGCAAATCCATCGTTTGACTTGCGTATATGTCTATAATGAAAAAGATCCTCCATTTTGTACCTTTGGCATGGGACAGCATCCCCATTTGCCTTCAGAGTCTTCACAGCAGGTGGTTCCATCTGGACACTCTGACACTCCGTCGCTGCACAGCACTGTAGTCACAAGCTCTGCAACAAGATAACAATGCATCAAATACAACAACATCAAATTTTAAAATGTTTATGATTAGTTAGGGGGCTTAGAGATGAAAGTAATCCCCTTATGCAAGGTAAGGCATGTTTATTTGTACACCACCTTTCAACAACAAGCCAATTCGAAGTGCTTTACATAACACACAAAAGGGCGAATATATGTATAAAGACACAAGTAAAATAACAGATAGAAATAAGCAAAAGTTGAATAAAATAGATGAAACAGGAGGATAAAAGTTACAGTGCAGCTACAGTGAAAGATACAAATAAATAGTCCCAATTTTAATGCAATACAAGTTAGTGAAAAGCAGAAAGATTTGAAACCTTGACAGGAGGTTTTTTGGGAGTTTATTCCAGTTATGTGGTGCACAGAAAATGAATGTTGCAAACCATTCAGTGCTTTATAAACCAACAGTAGTATTTTAACGTTGAATCCGCTGCAGCTGTCTGATTGACTTTTTATAGTAACATGTAGTCGAAGATAAACGCATGGATGAAGTTTGAGTTCTGCTGTTATTTTCTGTTTAGTACTGCTGAGACACAAATCCTTTCATTCGTGATATATTCTTACAGTCATAGTCAGCTGATTATGTTTTTAAGCCCATGACTACACCAATATTTCTGGCCTGGTTTGGGATTTCTAACGTTAGCCACTGACGCTGAGCACCCAATTTTAAATGTTCTTCTTTGTTTACACATCCAATAATTTATTTGTTCAATTTATTTACACAGTGCTTGTATAGTCGCCTGGTGATATTGTAAATATGTGTCGTCTGCATAATAAGGGTGAGATATTTGTTTTTCACATGCATGTGCAAGTTAAACAGAAGAGGCCTGAGAATGGACCTTTGGGAAGTCCCCCTCCTGCAAACAGGATTCACATTCAGACAGTTTTCTAGAATATGTTGTGCTTGTAAGCAGAAGAATTTCACCTTTTTTGATGCAGGAGCGGCTGTCCGCGCTGCACTGGTGGTTCTCAGGACAGCAGTGTTTCCCATCAGAGCAGGGGACTCCCTGTCAGGGGCCAGGAACAACAACATTTATATTTTACAATTCATAAACTAAAGGTGCCGTATAATCAGACTTTACTGCTCCTTGTACACTGTTGCTGTAAAGCAATCCAACAGATAACTTAAATGCAAAACACAAAGAGCTGCTGCATGTTCAGAGTTTCATATTAAATCACCCAGAATAGCATTAATCCCCTGCAACATATTTTCGTCTTCAGTGAAGTGAAACCAGCTTAGTTTGTCAACCAAACAAGCAAAGATCCTCTTTGCGACAGGAAGTAACTGCGTTTCTAGAAGACATATTTTAGATTTGTATAACATATGCACCCAGTTTTATGAAGTGTATGTATGAGTGGCTAACCAATTAACACGTATTTTGGTCTTTATTTCCTATTTTTGTCATTTCTGTTACTTGACATTACATATGACCTATCGATACAATTTGTGTGGTTATTACTTCCATTTCCCTTATAATTGAACCATTATTACTAGTACTACTATACTATACTATACTATACTACTATAAATTATATATAGATGTTTAAAATGATATCTGTGTTGGACAAGGTTTGATTACCTGAGCTAGGGGACAGCAGCCAAACCTCGTCAAGGCCCTCAGACAGGAGAATTCAGGTGGGCACCGTGACTGATCGGGACAGACGTTGTCGTCATCCTCCCCCATGTACGCCTTGATCATCCTGAAGGACTGCAGGGGACAGGGTGGGAGAGGGGGTACAATCTTAAATACATCAAGCTCTTTACTCAGTATTTTTCATGGAAGCTACAGATGTCTGGTATTCTTACTTTAGAGTGTCTGGGTTGGTCAGCAGAAGCTCTTTCCACCCAGGGCATGGTAACGGTAGCGTTCACACAGCTGGACGTGGCCGTATCGCAGATTGTTTCCGCAGGGCAGCAATGTACGTGATCATCACAGCACTCAGCCTACAAGGAGAGCGGTAGTAGGAGCACTTTGACTACCAAAGTTTCAAAACTGCTATCAGTCTGGGTTAATGAGGCCTGAGCTTTTATCTGGCTCATAAAGTAGTAAAACACCATTGAGCATGAATACTAATTCTTTTCATGTTAGAGAACAAGAGGAGTGGTTATCTCATACAATATGTACATTTAACTATGTGATAGACAAATGGACAAAGTATTCTGCTTGAGATGAAATACTATGTAAAGTTAATTGTGCGGCCATATAGCAGAGAGCAGTAACAGCAGCAGGTTTAACGTTTTCACATTGTGTAAAGTACAACAGTTCAATAGGGTGCAGTTTCTTTTTGGACTACTATTAGATGATAATTATTGACACAGACCTTTGCAAAACCTTCAGAGAATATAGGAAACACAGTTATCAACAAAACTTTCCGCTTTCATCTACCATTTTTAATAATAACCTTGAAATTTAGATTTAAGAGCAGCTGCTAAACTAGCATAAGCTACTTTTTAGTGGGAAAAGTTAAGCTGTGATTGGATTCAGCTGCTGCCTTGTTTATGTGGGATAGAAAACTCAATTAATAAGATGTTAGTTTATCAAAATTGGCATATTTCAATAGCAAGAAACAGTTAAGGGGCATTTAGCTTTATTTAGCTTTGTCAAGGCTAACTGGTTATCTCTAGCTCGAACCGTGTTCCTTTATTTGATGTCTTTTTAGTCTTAATATCTTACAACAAAAAGATTATAGTCTTAAACTAAATTGTAAGCTTTTGGCATTGTGCACAAATCAAATCAAATAAATAAAAGCTCAAAAGAGAAGTAAGAATTCAAACTCTTTAACCATGCCAGATAACAGCAGGTATATTATTGCTTGCTTTGCAGAGATACCATATTTAGACAAACTGTGTATACATTATGCAAATAATATGTGTTTTTTCCTGTTTCTAAAATAACTTTTCTTTTGAACATCTTACTTAGTGTAAGAATAAGTGGTGTGGTGGGGCAAACAGGTTGTGATGTACAATATGGGTTCCTTTTTGTATCTTTGACTCTTCTTAGAGGAAAGTTTCAGGAGAAATTAGGATTTAAAGTGGTCAACATTTGCTGCAATTTCCATAATAAGTAGGATTGCTACAAAAGCAAGTCAGTCACAGCAGAAAGAGTAATTGTGATTAGTTTCTTCCAACTTTATGATTAATATGATAATGCAGTGCATGCGGGTGGTACAACCAGGTCTACCTGATCAAACGGGCAGCATTCATAGCCGTTGGCTGGGTCGTTGCAGCAGGTTTGACCGTCTTCACATTTTCCTCCATCTGGACACTCTTCTGCTCCAACCAGGGCCAGGAGAGCCCAACAGATCACAACCCACTTCTGCATCTGTGACACACACACACACACACACAACACACACACACACAGGTCTTTAATGAAGGGAAAGTAAAAGGTGTGCATGTGGAATCCCCCTCCTCTCCATCCAACATCAGAAACAAAGGTTTTTGCATCAGCAATTGTTTTATACGCATGCTCAGATATTTCTACATGTTCATGAACTTCTCTGTCTGTAAAAACTAATCTTGCCTTTCTGGTGTTTTCAGACTTATTCTTTAAATACAACACATTCACTGAAAATGAGCCATACACGTCAAACACAAAAATTCAAACAATGTGTCAGGTTTGTCTTATTTCCTGAAGTGTGAAACTTCCCTTAGAGGCTTGTTCTTGTTTTTTCAGCTTTTTTATTTCACAATGAATAGGCAACAAAATAGGACATAAAAAATACATTAACACACTTTCAGTTTCGTTTAGCTTGCGCATGAGAAAGGAAACGCATTTTGTTCAAAAAATTAGACTAATCAGTCATAAAATACATGGGGATTATTATTATTGAAAAAAAACGTAAAATATTAAAACAAGCTAAGCAATTTAAAAAGCAGTTGTTTACTGTAAATGTGTCTGAATCATTATAAAACGAGAGGATTATCTCAGATTCTCGGGGCTCAAAGAAAATGTTTATTTCTCTTACCTTGGTAAAAGACTGAAGGGCTGTTGTGAGCAGTCAGGTGTTTCACAAGTATCTCACCTCAAAGTAACCAGACAACTGAGAGTCCTGCATTCATTGAACACACCCTCAGAGAGAGAGAGAGAGAGGTTCCTAATTTCCCTGAATACCCTACAGCGCCTCTTCTGGTCTCTTCAATTAATTAACTAATTAACTCCACTAAAAAAATTACCTTTTTTTACTGATAGGAGTGAAATGAAGTGGCTCCCGTTTGGCCGCACTCTACACTGAACAGGTTGCAGTGCACTGTCGGATAAACTTGTTTACATGCGGCAGCTGCAGCGCGCCACCGCGTCCTCTCCACCAGGGGGCGCCAGAGCCAACAGCAGGAGGCGCAGCGGCAGAGGGAGGGGGCGGGGCCAAGCCAGTTTACCACAGATCTCCACAACATGCGGATCGGCCTCACGCTATCGCTGTCACGTCCATCGCTGAGCGCAGTGCGTTACAGGTTTGTGATGTGAACGTCGCGGCGGACGTCGTGACCTGTACGTATGAACAGCCGGGCTACGAGCTTCTTTAGCTCGACTCCAACAACATGTTTACGGTCTCTCCTCGATGGGGAACCGTGATAAACTGTGGCTTAGCGTTTCGCTCTTAAATGTGGCGACGTAACGTTAAAGTTAACTGAAATGGGTGACGACGCTGGCAGCTAAAGTAGAGGTGAGTGACGTTTGCTTGTCATCCTAAAAAAACAAAAACAAAAAAAAAACGTTGTTACCTGAAAAGCTAAGCAGCTAGCTTCCACTGTAATGCAGACATGTTGGGGCAAATTTAGTTTAATGCGTTTGATAAATGGTCGCATTGGGTTTTAATCCTCCTCTCCTCAAGTGTGGGTTTAAGGTAGATATCCATTTTGTTTGGGCTTTAATGTTCGTCAGCTAATGTTGGAGAGAAAGAACAGAGTGTGCTAAAAAAAAAAAGTGTCTGCACAGCAGGGTTAAGTTAGATCATTGATTGAGTTGCACAGTTCACTGACACGTTACTTAAATCTGAATGAATTAGATGTGTCTCTTTTGTTTTTGTGCCCTCACAACATGAGTGCAATGTAGGTAGTTTATATGTAGAGTCAGATATTGACAGGGAGAGGACAAACATATCATTTTAGGACACAATGTTTGTTTTGGCCACTTGGTTTGTCCAAGCAGCAGCTTACCTGGCAGACAGCCCTTGAGGGACGAGTGGCTATAAATGTCACACTGAAGTGTATTTAACTCCAGGAATAGGACAAATAAGGGGAGACAAATGGCAACTACACAGGTTGAAAACAGGAAAGTTTGAAATTATTCTGTTACTTTGCCAAAAATCCTCATTCAGCCCAAAAAATCTTGTCTGCTGGTGATGGATTTGTCGACATTGTGCGTAATTCTTCCCTGTGGACATTTCTTTTTCTACCTTTTTATTTGCTCCTCTTCCATTTCACTGTGGGCTGATTACATTATGACAGCTCTCAGTTAGGGGGCCAGGAGGTGAGGCTCTCACTGGCTGTCTGGTGAATGCACATCGTAGATAAGCTATCATAATGTTTCAACGACCCCATTATAACAACCCGCCCAGACTTAGACTAAGGATGTCTGGTCTGACTTCAGTACGCAGTAATAATCGGCCCGTCGGATGAAGGACAGCAGCACAAGTTGCAGTTATTTTAACACTTTTTAAATGTAGGTTTTTGTCCCCATGATGAACTTGGAGCATCTCAGGAGCAGGCGTCACACAGTTAGCACTCTGACATAAGACCTAACCACAGACGAGGTATAAAGTCGCTCATCCTCCAGGACACAAACACTCCTCCTTTAGTTGTTTTACATGACAAGGAAACAAAGACTCCTCTGTGACGTTTAGTTACATGACATCGTGTTCTCGTTGGTATGTTTCGTATTTATTTGTTTTCTTTGTGTGACAGGTGGGCAGGATGGGGGAGCGGGCCGTCAGCAGCCCCGCGGCTGCCATCTCTCCAGTGCAGCAGATGCTGGCTTCTGGCACTGGAGCCCTCCTCACATCTATTTTTGGTGAGATCACGGAAACAGAGCAACTTAATGTCTGTATGTCTAAGAATATATTTGCCTTCCAATGGAGTTAGTCTTACAATTAGTTAGTTGCCTGTTCTTTAGGTACAGCTAGCTCAAACTAATGTAGTCTAACAGTGCTGCAAAATGCTTCATGAAGGTTATAATGTTCAGTTTTTATTGTCTTTTATGGTTTTCTGAACTTTTGGAAGAAGTTCTTTGTGGTGTTGTCGAACTGTACTGCCTTACAGGTCATTGATAAGAATGGGGCGGACAAAATAATAGAAACACGGTCGCTCCACCAACTGCAGCCTCCGAAATCAATGCTTCTCTAAAACACGTTTACCCCAATGAAGGAAGGGCTGTTATTAGTTTAATCTAGGTGTACTAATGCTGTAATAATTTGATCTGTCAACGTGTTTGTTTACAGTCACACCGCTGGACGTTGTGAAGATCAGGCTGCAGGCTCAGCAAACACCGTTCCACCAAGGTAGGACAAGGGGGCTCGTCTCCTTCCGTGGTTTCGAAACGTTGCTTTGTAACAGCTGCTCGTGTCTCTCGTGTGACTCTTGATGCTTTTTTAACACCGCCACACCTGCCTTTTGCTTTGTTTCATAGCTTCAGCTCCGTGGGGTGGCGTCTTCCGCCCTTCCAAGTGTGAGTATCTGACCCGCCGTCGCTGCACGCTAAAACATGGTCACGGTTTGAAAACAACACCGTGACCCAGCACAACCTTTCTGTGTGTGGGCTCGACTAACAAACAGCTCAATAATCCCTTTTTTAGATAGATTCACGTGTTTACTGTTGGCTGAGAGCCTATTTTTGTTTCCCTTCTTGGCCTTCGGTCCTTTTTGTTGATGTGTAAAGCTTGTATGGCTGCAGTTTTCTTACCTGGCTTTCAACTACCATTTCATGTTTGTGTGTGTGATAGCTTCAAATGCTAAAAATGTTCCTTAGATACAAGTCACCACTTGAACTCTTGAACACTCCACTCTTTCTTTCGTAAATGTATTGTTTTTGTTTCCTGCGATATTTTCCCATTTCAAAATCTGTAGTAGGAGCAGATTGTGAAATTGTGCTTTTTTTAGAGTTACTCTGAATTTTTTTGTCAATAGTCTATCTTAAACCGAGCCCTGAATAAACAGGCAAAGTAAGCAGTGACAAGGGCAGGCCTGACGTTATCTTCTGACTGACTCTGTGGTCATTGCCACGGCGTGTATTATTAATCACCCTCCTCTCCTCTGTCAAGGATTGTAGTTGAGAACACATGAAACCTTTACAGATCACATTTTTAAAGTCTAATTATCTGGCGTTTGCTGGGAAGGCCAGTGTCGTACAGTTATTGTATGCTTGTAACTCCGCTGACCCCTGGTTGCTCCGTCTCTCACAGGGAGGTGTTTCCTGTATTGTAATGGACTGATGGATCACATCTACGTGTGTCAGAATGGAACCAGTTGCACCAGCTGGTACAAAACACCAACACATTTCAGTGGGACACTTGTAAGTACATTAGCAGCTTTGCCTTTGCCACGGTCCTTTTCACACAGATTGAATGTGATTGTGTCACACATATTTGTTTGTGCCATAGGACGCTTTTGTGAAAATCACTCGACATGAAGGACTCAGGTCATTGTGGAGCGGGCTACCACCAACACTGTGAGTGTCCGAACTCTCCTCAAATCAGTGTTTAAAATACTTAATCCTTGTAATCCATACAGTCATAATTATATAACACTATAAGTAGCACACTGGTACCCTGAATTAAGTGTTTATTCTGTAAATAAAATATAACAATATAACAGGATGACCCACCTCAACTATCAATCGGCAGAACGGCCAAATAAAACGTATAAAGGCTTTTAACAATTATAAATCCATGTGTTTGAAACTGTTTCCTATGCCATGGACATCACTGTAGTAGATGTTGCCTCTAAAAACGATTTACTAAGCTGCTGCAGTCAGGAAGGAACATCCATCTTAGCAGGAAACAGCAGGAAACAACACTATCAAGTGTTATTTAACAAAAGACCACTGAAAACATTTGATACGTACGTACACATATAGAGTTGTCCCAGCACTGAGATATGTGTTTTTATTGAGGTTCTGCTAACAATTACATATACTACCAGTTCTGAGTATGTACAGAACCACATCTTTAGTAGTTTTTAAACTCTGTTAACAAAACACAAGAACAGCACTACTTTACAAACACGATACAAAACAGGAAAACGAAACAGCACGCACGCACACACACACACACACACACCACCACCACCACCACCACCACCAGACATAATTACATTACAGTCACTTGGGTATTCTGTAGTCAGTTCCAATTTTATTAATTGGGTAGAACAAAGGTCAGTCCAGAGGGTCCACCGTGTCCAAGACTGGTGACTATATCTCAATAAATCCATTGACACCTGAGAGGCGTATTCTCAGAATCATCCAGTGAAAGGGTATCCTCAGAAATCAAGAGTTTAGAATAAAGTCTTTCTTGCTATATATAAGAATGTTCCAAGCACTTACTCATTTAAAACCATTGTTTATTTGCATGTGTGTGCAGGGTTATGGCTGTACCCGCCACCATCATCTACTTCACCTGCTACGACCAGCTGCGGGACTTTCTGAGATACGGTCTGGGTTTCCAGGGCAGCCACATCCCCCTTGTTGCAGGCGGTCTGGCTAGATGTAAGTCCATTAAAACCCAAGCACATGTATTTATCCTAACTCTAATTTGATAATGGGTTTTTGACTTCCAGCATGTGTTTTTGTGTGTGTGTGTGTGTTGCAGTGGGGGCTGTGACAGTGATCAGCCCTCTGGAGCTGGTCAGGACCAAGATGCAGTCCCGTCGGCTGCCCTACAGCGAGCTGCGGGTGTGCATCCGCTCTGCTGTGGCCCAGGATGGCCTGCTGTCACTGTGGAGGGGCTGGGGGCCTACCGTTCTCAGAGACGTACCCTTCTCTGGTGAGAGCAGCAAGACAGAAAGCAATATAAGGACACTGTTTAAAAAATCTTAAATATCCCTTTTTTAGATGTTGTTGTTACATGGATTACATGAAAATTTTATCAGTAGACTTGACTGTTGTTAGCTGGACTTCATGCCGGTTACAGTAAGAGTGAGAAATGTATCTTATCCTCCACAGAAACTTGTCAAACCATTCCGGCTGCATATTTTACTCGTCTGCTGTGATTTGATATCTTCAGTATGTTCCAAACAATTGTCCTTTCATCAGACCACAGCTAAATACGCTGCTAGTGTGTTGTACTATCTGCATTCTTGAAAATCTGCTGGAAGTATACTTTTTGCTAAACCTACAGTTTGAAGCATACTGAGCACTCAGTGAAACGGGCTGCAGCTGCAAGAGTGCTTTGAGAAGTTCATGTGAATATTTCAGATTTTCCTCAAGGGACTTTATGCCATACGACAGCCTCTATCCTTAGACCCTTGATTCGGAAAACCTCCCCAAAAAACTCTTCAACAGGGACAAAATGGAAGAGAGATAGAAAGAGCAACAATAAATGAGATCGTACACTAAAAATAAGCAGTCATTTGTCAAAGTAAGCGTAAGATGACTGTAATGTGGAGCCAAGTGACTAATTAACAAACAAACTGTCTCTGTGTGTATGTGCAGCTTTGTACTGGTTCAACTATGAACTGGTGAAGGCCCAGTTATGTGAGCAGTCCAGAGTGACTCAGGCCAACTTCTCCATCAGCTTTACTGCCGGGGCCGTCTCTGGAGCTGTAAGTACTCAGCTTTACAGGAAAAACCATTTCAGAGTTTTATTCTAAATGGACAGTTCACCCCAGAATCAGAAATTCATATTTTCCCCCTTACCTGTTCTGCTGTTTATTCATCTAGATTGTTTTGGTGTAAGCTGCCCAGTTTTCTAGATATCAGTTGTAGAGATGTCTGCCTTTTCTCAAATATAATGCAACCAGGTGGAAAAGCGCCAAAAACACATTGAACTCAACAGCAATGTCCCTTTCCAGAAATTGTGACCCAGTTACAGTTAAGATAACCCACAGACCTTGTTGTGAGGAGTTCCATGGAGGAACTATTTTGTTTCTACGTATCATCGTGGAGAAGGAAACGTACATCTACAGATGGATGAGAGGCTCGTGCTTGGTCTGTTGATTATTCTGAGTAACCGAGTAATGATTTCTAGAAAGAAACATTGCTGTTGAGTTATTGCTGGCACAAACCAAGGAAAAGTGATAGTTTGACAGATGACCCTATATATTACATCAGAGCTGCAGTGAATTCAAAATGTTTTATTGTTTCTGAATAAAAAAAACTCTATAAGTAAACTAATAGAGTTTACTCGCCATCCAAATGCTGTAAGAACCTTTACATCTGAAACCTGGGCTGCCCAAAATGTTAATTGTAGAATTAACATTTCATTAGCATTTATCAGTAGAGGGAATAACCTGATAACTGAAATCCTGATGATATGAATGATTGAATCACTTAAAATGTAGCCTTGATAAATCCTGATGTTTGCTTTGGTTCAATGACTACAGTTAATTGTAGTCTATATAAACATATCACAATGACTTAATTACCCTCAAATATCTGATAACAAGGGTCCAGGTCTGAGCAATGAAGGCATTGTCAGGGAAATGTTCAGAGAATGAGGCCAGCGACTGACCCACATTCACTTATGCAATAATTGAGCAACTGCCCCTCTGATATGAATGGTTATCCTTCACACACAGACTGAAGTGTATCCACTGACTGTTGTTGTCTGTCATTGGGTCTAGATTGCTGCAATCCTGACGCTGCCTTTTGACGTGGTGAAAACACGGAGACAGATCCAGCTGGGAGAAATGGATACTGTGGGAGGTCGGTATTTAAACATGATGTTGTGTGAAATGTATTTACTTATCTGTGAAACATGTTCCTAACAGTAACTTATTTCCATTCCTCCTAGCCTCCTTAAAGAAAACCACATCCACATGGCACATAATGAAGGAAATATGGGCCGAGTTGGGCTACAGGGGGCTCTTTGCAGGTATACACTTACTGTATGATGTCTTTCATAATTCAAATATCGTCCTTGAGAAATGCTTGATTTTCAACATAATTGTGTTTTGTTCCAGTTATACAATCACTCATGTGAACCAAAAACCTTATAATATTTGAATCAGTCTTGTTGTCGCATTTGTTTGTTGTCTCCTGGCATGTTCACTCATCATTCATACATCCACTAAACAAGCCCTCTGTTGATCCCTGATTGATGATTATTGATGATAATCATGATCAAATGTACAATTAAAGTTAATAGCTGGTAAAATAAACAAAGCGACAATATATACAGTGATTGCTGTGGATATAAAGAAATTATCATTATTCTTATTTTTTGCAATTGCATTTATAGCAAAAATGTAGATGTGATGATAAAGGCTTTGAGAGTCTGGAAGTTTTTGTTTTGGGTACTTTGAAAGTCTTTAAAGGGCTTGAATTTGAATGTGTACAAACCATGGTTTTATTATATTGAGTAAAAATAAAACATTTGTATTTTCCTCAGGTTTCATGCCCAGAGTGATCAAAGTGGCCCCAGCCTGTGCTGTTATGATAAGCACCTATGAGTTTGGAAAGGCCTTCTTCCAAAAGGTGAACCTTGATAGAGAGTGACCGCCATCTTGAAGACTGGGTCTGGTTGTTTTTCAGTGGCTGAAGATAATTCACATGACAGACATTGTTATACGGCAGAAGCTTGATGAACACTGGGGCCTGAATTTGATATTGTGTGAGCACAGTGAGATTCCTCTCCCTGTAGATCTGCTCTCTGGAGACTGTGATAAGACTTGAGACACACCTACATCCTTGAACTTCATAATGAGCTTGAACTACAAGCCTGGATACTGAGAGAAGCTCTTTGACCCATATCCTTTTATTTGTGTTGATTATCTGAGCAAATGTTTTTTTCCAGGTATCTTAAAAAGAAACTGTTTAAATCCCTAAAAGGAAAGGGGCTTGTACCAAATTACACTGACACCGATTCACCCACTGTACAGGACAATGTTTAAACCCTCTTTAAGGACTGCAACTACATCGTTACTGTCGCATGAGTCGGGAAACTGTTCCCACAATTTGCATTGCCTGAGACCAACTGCATGGCGTGTACAGCTTTATTCAATACAAAGTCCAGAAAATCTGGTCCAATCTGCATTCCTGCAGCAGTAAAGCATGACATTTTTGCCATCTGAGTAGAAGACTGATAAATCTGTTTTGTATGCTGGATAGATATGATCATTTGTAGCACTTTACATTTACAAGAGAAGCGCTGTGAAATGAAATCACTATAATAACCACAGTTTTTTCTATGTTTGTTGAATATACGCCTCTTTTCTGTTCTCGTAACTGGAGGAAAGTCAGAATACAAAAACACAAGGCCTGAAAATTAAAGCTAGCCTTCTTAGAAGACATGTTTACATTGTGTGCATGAAGTTTGCATTTTATGCTATAGTTGCATTACAAGAATTCATGAATATTTGAGAACATTTTTCAGTGAAAACCACTGCAGCCATCTTACCAAAAGTAACACAGTTATTCTGATATTTCGCCAAGATTGTTTAGATGATGGTAAAGGAAAATCACAAGAGGCTTTCCAACCTTTCCCCTAGTGCTATTCTGGTCAACATGACGTTAAAACTTGTTACATCACTGGATCATAAAACAAAAATATTGCTGCCTTAACCTGAAAGGTGTAAATGTGTGTGTTTCTTTGTTGTTTTTTTAATGAATGAAACAATAATAAATGTTAAGACAGCTGGATTTTTATGCTATGTGTGATTTATTGCCTGAGGAGTTTGTAAATGACCATTATTATTTAAAAGAAAATAATATATTAGTTATGATTGAGGTATTTCATAATAATGAAAACAAATAACAGTAGAAAACAAAACACTACATTTTTATTATACAGGCACAAGTTTAAAGAAAGTTTTTCACTACGGTGGACAGAAAGGTTTTATTCTACTCTGATTTTAACTGACACCACAGAAGAACTGAATAAGATGAGATGTATTGTTCCCCCGTGGGAGAAATTAAAGTTTGACAAAAGTCAAACAAAAAGTCTATATAATAAAGTATAAATATAATATAAGATAAAATAGAAAATCTATAATGAAAATATACACACTGTATGCAGTATCCAATAAAGGAATATGTTGTGCAAGAAATTAATATTATTTCCATTTCTCCCAAATGTAACGAATTATATAAAACAATTTTAATATATATATTAAATATACTTAATGAGAACATAACTATTTCAAAAATATTCCTGTCCAAAGACAAATTGCTAAATATCTTCCTATTTATCTTATCGTATTTTATTATTCAGAGACTTTGCAAAGTCAAACAGCGACATCTAGTGGCTGCTGAGTTTAATACATTTACAGGGTGAAATCCCGGGGGCGGGGCTTCTCTGAAGATAGTCACGCTGAATCCCGCGATACTTGTATGTGTATAAATAGGCGCACTGGCCCTTTAGAAGATCTCTTTGAATCGGATTGGACACAAAATGGTGAGTTTGCTCTTCATGCTGCTGACACTCTGGACTTGAATCTGTTTGTCATCTGAGGCATCTGTTGAATTTGACTTGTTTAATCTACTAGGGAGTCCATATTTAGAAAGTCTTATTAATGTTTAGCTTATATTTCTGTATCATTTTACTGATATCGCAGCTTTAGGGATACCATACCGGTGACTTGGGGTCCAAAATGGCAGCTTTACGTAGGCCTCACCTTGTAATTAAAACTTAAATATGAAGCTACTTCGATACAACACTCCCAAGTATATTACCTTGTTGTATTTATATATGTTTTATCTTATAATAATCGAAGCTTAAGCGGCATCTCGGGTTGTCGTATCGTTATTTGACAGCCGACAAACCTGCATACTTGCGGCGGTGAACTAGCAATGCTAACAACGTGGTAACCCGTTTCCCTGCAGTTGCATATTAATAACTTAACACAGCTTTTAAACTAAACCATACAGTTAATATGCAAGAATCGAGCTTTTTCCAGCTAGGAAAGGATGTCCTTGTATGTGATATAGGCCTCGTGGTTGGTTCACAACGCACCGGCTGACGTTTTCTTCCCTCCACAGTCCCACCGTAAGTTTTCGGCTCCCCGCCACGGATCCCTCGGGTTCCTGCCCCGCAAGAGGAGTCGGCGGCACCGTGGTAAGGCCAAGAGCTTCCCTAAGGATGACCCCAGCAAGCCCGTGCACCTGACCGCCTTCCTGGGCTACAAGGCCGGCATGACCCACATCGTCCGTGAGGTCGACAGACCTGGCTCAAGTGAGTGGAGGACACTGTTGCTCTATAGTGAATGTTGTCCAATAATTAGAAGTTATAGATATTTTAAGAGTGGTAGTCTGCCTGTGATGATCCCCTCGACGGGCGGACATAATGGGTTTATACCCCTTGCTGAATGTCGAGCACTGAGCGCAGTTTATACCCTTCAGTAGTGCAGTTAATAGTTTTAAATTCAAATATCTCTTAATGTGAAGATTAACTGTTATTTCTACTTCTACAGAGGTGAACAAGAAGGAAGTGGTTGAGGCTGTGACCATTGTGGAGACCCCTCCCATGATTGTGGTCGGAGTCGTGGGTTACGTCAACACCCCCCGTGGCCTGCGCTCATTCAAGACCATCTTCGCCGAGCACGTCAGTGACGAGTGCAAGCGTCGGTTCTACAAGAACTGGTGAGACACTGTACAAAATGGTACCTTATACCTGATAGTAGTTTGTGCTTGAAGCAAACGTTAGTTACCCAGTGGAAATATAATAATCTGTTTTCACTGAGTGAGTCTAACATTACGGTGGCCTATGTGGTAGCTCCGCTCAGGTGCCGTGTGCCCTGATGAGCTCCGGGCTCCTCTGGCCAGTGGAAAGTGCTTCTTAGAAACTGAGCCATGAGCCAAAATCTGAACTAGCTGATATCAGCCCTCTTCTCCACACGGACAAGAGGGCGAGCAGCTATGCACTGTGTTCTTCCGCTGGCCCTCCGGGGTTATGAAGGACCTGTGCCAACCGATGTGTCCTCTCTCCTCCTGCCACGCTGCGCGCTCTCAGGTACAAGTCCAAGAAGAAGGCTTTCACCAAATACTGCAAGAAATGGCAGGATGATGAGGGCAAGAAGCAGCTGGAGAAGGACTTTGCTTCCATGAAGAAGTACTGCCAGGTCGTCCGCATCATTGCCCACACACAGGTTAGTACACTTATCAGGTTTCTAGTGAAGTTTTCTGTGTCAGTGATGAGACCACGGATCATGCGTCAGGCATGGCGCCCTATACTTATGAGGATACCTTCCATGCTGCCTTCCTTCTGAGACTACACAGCTTAAGATGTCACTGTACATCTTGAGTGTTTCTTTCTGTTCTGACCTGTCTCTCTCTCTGTGCAGATGCGTCTGCTGCCCCTGAGGCAGAAGAAGTCTCACCTCATGGAGGTGCAGCTGAACGGAGGCACCATCTCTGATAAGGTGGACTGGGCCCGTGAGAAGCTGGAGCAGGCCGTGCCAGTCAGCACAGTTTTTACACAGGACGAGATGATCGACGTTATCGGCATCACCAAGGGTCACGGATACAAGGGTAAGATGAACTGCAACTCAACTGATTTTTAAAGTGCATTTCCTGTTTCTGGGGAAACTAAATGCAGCACCACAT